ATACATGTTGTACACACTCCAGGTGAATATGGTAGAAAATGTAACTGACAGATATGACTATGAAACTTCCCCACATCTTTGCTGACATTAACACATTTACTTTTGATGTTAGAAGTTTTCTGACATGTTTTGTTTAATGGCGCGTTTCCACTACAGCGCGGAGCACGGTTTAAGAGGGCTGTGACGTCAGCGGCCCGTCTTTGGTTGCGTTTCCACTTGGCCTAGTACCGGCCGGCGGGTCCTAATTCACAGTTTTTCTGGCCTCATAAAATCGCGGGTCTAGGGCCAGAGACAACGAGGCTGAGTCGGGCTGAGTATGCTAAACTAGAGAGAGCATCGCTGGCAAGGGGGCTACAACTACAACAAGATGGACATATTTGACCGTGATTTAATTGTAATACACGTTTCAAAATGATGCCGAAGTAACAACATACTGATACCGGTTAGTAAAAACCATGAATTAATGCTTTGTCAAGTCTGCAGACAGACGGCAGGCGAAAAACCTTTTAAAATGCGTGTTTTCTAAATGGAGATTGGCTAAGCTAACGCAGTAGTATATGCTCCGACCGTCCACACTCACAACAACGGCCTATACAGACATAAATAAAGCAGCGACTGTATTCACCATGACACAGGCAGTCTGTGGTTTGTACTTGTTTAACTTTTGTCTAGTTTCTGAACATATATGAGGAGCTGTGAGCTCTGAGTGCTAACAGCTAACGGCTGTGTTGTTTTTCTGGGGTCCTCTGAAGATCACGTCACGGCTCCGCCTACACTGCGTTACTATAGATACTACCCCAGTTCCTAAACTGTAATGGAAATGCGCCATAAAGTGAGCCAGTCCTAACGAGGCCCAGCCATACCGAGCGGGGCCGAGGGAGGCCGTGTAGTGGAAACGCGCCATAAGTGTGCAAATGAGGCATTGATGCTAAAATGCTTTATGGTTCCGGCATAATGCTCAATTTTAAAACTGCATGTTATCTGATAAGAACGTTGGGTGGAACGATCTTAGTATGGATAGAAACACAAGTAATACATACTAGTGTGAAGGTGCCACAATCAAAGCATGACCTATTTTTGATGTACAGAATAAAAGATCATTGGATCGTATGTTATATATAATTGAATACAGACACTCTGCTGCATGTGCACTGTGTGATAAATATATAAAATCCTGTTAATATTCATCATTCCTCTGGACGTCTTCCTGTTTCTGCTGCTGGAGGTATTTGACCCTCAAACCTCATCTCTGTGCTGCTGACGGGGGCCCAACCTCTGGCCCCCGCGCTGATTGAGGGGACGGACAATCAAAAGCAATAGGACGGATGATGAATGTGTACCTTTCGACTCACTCAGAGGAAAACATCTCATCTCAAACGTGAAAAAAATGTAATAGAAATCAAATAATGTCTCCAAACTGCTGTGTGTGTGTGTTTGTGTTACTGACATTATGGGGACCGCTTACCTTTTGGGGACAGTATGCACGTCCCCATAACGTCAGTAATTAAGTTAGGAATTTAAGTAATTGCAATTTTTTTTGATACACACACACACACACACACACACACACAGACACAGACACACACACACACACACACACACACACACACACACACATGCTCCAGTTTTCATTTCACTCCGGTGGTTTTTATATTTTCATATATTCATGCAGGAGCTTCAGTGAGCAAGTATGTGTGTGTGTGTGTGTGTGTGTGTGTGTGTGTGTGTGTGTGTGTGTGTGTGTGTGTGTGTGTGTGTGTGTGTGTGTGTGTGTGTGTGTGTGTGCGTGTGTGCGTGTGCGCGTGTGTGTGTGTGTGTGTGTGTGTGTGGTGTGTGTGTGTGTGTGTGTGTGTGTGTGTGTGTGTGTGTGTGTGTGTGTGTGTGTGTGTGTACCTGCAGCTTGCGGTCATGGTCTCCGCTGCAGAGCGAGTTGAGAGAAACTTTGAAGGTTTTCCACACCGGGTTCAGATTATTCATCACAGTCTGAGAAACATGAGAGATTTTAAATATTTGTAAAAATTATATAACAAGGATTCATATATACTTTTCGTAACTTGTCTTTGTTGAGTGTAAACATCTCACTGTAGCTGCATAAGAATGAAGGTTAGCAATTAAATTACACTCTGAAAGTCACATCGGGTCAATACTGTTACATTTGAAAGTTATTTTGTGTTAAGCAGCTTTGAATGTCTTATGATTGTCAGACAGAGAGCACAGTGAGAGTGAATGTCATAACTAAAGAGGTAAAAACCAAAAAACATAATTAAACAATTGTAAAAACGTTCTTAAAGCCAGTTTGTAATGTAACAAGAGCTGAGTGAGCTACACTTTTCTGGCAGCTAAAAAAAACATTAGTTACCATTGGCATATACTAATATTTAATGAATGTACTTTCCATAACTGACTGCTAACAGCTAAAGTTAATTAATAACAGCTAACAGCTAACATTAAAGGTGGGGTAGGTAAGTTTGAGAAACCGGCTCGAGATACACTTGTTGTTATATTCCATGGAATGCTCTTAACATCCCGATAGCAATGAATATCTGAAGTGCTTTGACAAAAAATCCATTAATAAATATAATCTGTGGAAGCTGTGGTACTGTAAAAAGCACGACCAATCATCTGAGCCGGCCCGGCTAAAATAACTGGATGGCCTACCTGCCTGTCAGCCTTCCATCTGTGCACAAACTTATCTCGTGCCCTCATTGGTCATGTGCGCGTTCGTGTGTGTTGGAGGAGGGGCTCTGTGAGGAAGTGGCAGATTTTCTCCGGCTGTGTATTTTCAAATTATAGCGATCTCGAGCCGGTTTCTCAAAATGTACCTACCCCACTTTAACTGTTCATTTAGAATAGCTAATCTTAAAAGCTAACTTTAACTTTAAACATCTAGCGTTAACTATAAACAGCTAACTGCTATCATTAAAAAATAACAGCTCATTTTAACTGATAACTGTTCATTTATAATAGCTAACCTTAAAAGCTAACTTTAAACAGCTAACAGCTAACATTAACAATAAACAGCTAACAGCTAACAGCTAACAGCTAACAGCTAACATTAACAATACACAGCTAACAGCTAACATAAACAATAAACAGCTAACAGCTAACATTAACAGCTAACAGCTAACATTAACAATAAACAGGTAACAGCTAACATTACAACCCAGTCTCACGGCATTTCGTGTTATTAGTCAAGAAATGGCTCAGAGCCTCAGAATACTGACATCTGTATTTTATGTCATCTTTTTTTCCTTCTAATTTGTTATTATTTGGTGCAGGCACGAAACATACTACCAATATAAATACATTACTTCTAAAATCGTTCTGTGTGACACGAAAAAAATGGCGAAATCGTGTTGGTGAACACGAATCAATAGATTAATTTCGTGACTATAACACGAAATGCCGTGAGACTGGGTTGAACATTAACAATAAACAGCTAACAGCTAACAGCTAACATTAACAGCTAACATTAACAATAAACAGCTAACGTTAACAAACTAAAGCCAACCAAATATAAAAAAATCAAGCAAGCTAGTTTTAATAACAAATAAAGTTAGGTTATATCAGTTAATTAATTACAGCTAATGTTAATTATTAGCAGCTAAAGTTATCATCTAACAGCTAATGTAAGCTAGGTCTCCTCTTGTTTTCTTGTTTGTAAAAGATCAATAAGATGAGATGTACTTTATTGATCCTAAATTGGAAATATGTTTGTTATGGCAGCATGTTCATCAAGGCATTGCACATCATTTGAAAATAAAGAGAGCAGAAAGTAAACAAATAGAAAACAGAAGGACCGTGAAGGATAGAAATCTGACTGAGAAACAAACACTATGAAAGGCCAGATTACAGCTACAATTGAAAAGTAGGATTGTTTTTACATTCAGTGTGCAAGGAATGGCAAATTAAATTAAATGTAAAATGTACCTCCGTTCTGTAGACGAGTTGCATCGTGGCGTCATCGTTCACCCGGTAAATCTCCAGAAACGGGTCGGACTTAGTGAAGAAATCCTGCAGACACACACACCACCATATTTAATTAGAAAGAGAACAGGTGGAGAGGACTTGTTTTGGGAAACAGGTGGTTGCATTTCCCAGGATCAGACATGTATTTACAACAGCAGGAGGTTCCTGTAGAACGTTTTTCTCACATCTCAAGAAGCTTCTTGAGTTGCGTAAAGAAAAAGTTTGAGAAGTTTTGCATCTGCTTGTTTCTGCGCTTCAATAATTTAATTGACCACCAGACAGGCTGTCGACATTTAAAATGGTGCAGCAGGAAAGAAACATGGAGCCTTGAAACGTCACGTAGCTTCAGTTTAAATGAGAAACTGTCAGAGAGTTTGTTACTCCGAGTTTCTAGAACAAGATGTGCAGAAGTTACAGATACCACACACACACAGACACACACAGACACACACACACACACACACACACACACACACACACACACACACACACACACACACACATGTACACACACAGTCCTGTTTCTGTCACTTGAGAGGACTTGGATTACATTTACTAACCCTAGCTTAACTTTAAATGAAGCTTTCACCCTGAAATGTGATTATTGACATAATGAGGACGTTAATCTTGTCCCTGAAAGGCACACGAGTCCCCACAATGTGAGTAGCACACACTTTCTCACACACACACACACATACACACACACACACACAGCTGGTACCTTGTCGTCCAGTTTCCTTGCGCTGAACGAGAGCTCGATGTAGTCGTCGTTCCCCGTCAACTCTTCTGCAGTGATCTGCAACACAAACACACACACACACACACACACACACACACACACACACACACACACACACACACACACACACACACACACACACACACACACACACACACACACACACACACACACACACACACACACACACACACACACACACACACACACACACACACACACACGCACACACGTTATTACTCTCATTAGGTACACCATAGAGAGCATCCTGACCTTCTACAGGTGCACCATAGAGAGGATCCTGACTGGCTGCATCACGGCCTGGTACGGCAGCTGCTCCGCCCTTAACCCGTTAAGCCCTGAGCCTGTTTTTCAGGTCTCAGGCTCGAAAATGACATTCCCAGAACAAATGACCTTATCTTCCCTTCTAAAAGGGTTAAATTAATAATCTTTTTTCTCAAAGTAATGATAAACCTGTGAGTTGGCTGTAGAAAAGTCAGAACAATATAGATGTTTTTTATTTTAAAGAAAATTCAGATTGAACATAGTAAAAAACTGTAAATTATAGTGTCCGTCCAAATATTATTTTGTACTTATAGTGAAAACTACCCTTGGATGATGGGTTAGTAGACTAAAAGCTTTAGGAATCCAAAGTACAACATATAAGAAGTACCCTGTATCAAGATTGATGCAAAACAAGTGACATTTGACCTTTTTAGAGAGATTTATCAAAAAGAAACCACTTCTGGGGTCATTTGGGTGGATTTTCCATATCTCTGGCCCCCCTTGCTCGATTTTGATGGTTGACACCTCTTTCTGACCGTTAGAGCCAATATAATCGAAGGGGGAGTCCCCCACACACACACGTTGTGAAGAGAAAAGGTGGGGGCTTCACGCATGTAATTTACTGTAGCATCAGAGTGAACCTATACTCTAGCTCTGACATCTGGAAACGGAAAAGCAGTTTTATTGCTTATGGATTATCAGAAATCATTTCAAAGGGACACAGACACATTGGATTAATTTATGGATTAACTTCAGCAGCGTTTTTATCGTTTTAATGCCATTGAAGACCACTTTGGAGAGACTACAGAGCCAAGGTAACCTTGTTAGCATTTTTAGCTACCTAGCGTCAAATGTTTTGATGTCTGTTTTTGCTTATAACGTCGCCATTTCGTATAATTCAGTGATAATGAGGGTACCCATCGATTCTGTGTCACCTCACGATGTGAAATGATGTGTTGGATGTGGTGAAAAGATAAATAATAAGGTTTTGTGAGTGATTTTCGGTGCAGTAATCTGTTAGCATTTTTCGCTCGTTGCTAATTCAGAGGCTCAGTGTTAGCATTGTGGGTTTTCTTTTGAAAAAAAAAAAAAAAAGATCAGTTAGATGAGTTTCTTCCCGTTACATGGATATAAAACATTCATAGTTTATTAAATGAACATGCCCTCAGACACTGTTTCCTGCAAGATGTTGCGGCAGTGCCCCGGTACCGGGGTCTCTCGGGCTTAACAGGTAGAGTCAGACTCTACAGAGGGTGGTGAAAACTGCAAAGAACATCACCAGGACAGAGCTGCCATCCATGGAGGACCTTTACTCCAAGCAGCTCAGGAAGAAATCCCTCAGGATTATAAAAGACCCCCATCCCCCCCAGCCACAAACTGTTCAGTCTGCTGCCGTCTGGCAGGCGGTACCGCAGCATCCGGACTAAAACCACCAGACAGAGACAGCTTCATCCCACAGGCCAGAAGACTGTTAAACACCTGAAACAATTTCATAACATTCATCTGCTACTTAGTAATTATGTATCTATTATCTAATATATCATTCCAATAACTTGTATATAGACTCGTACTGCACTATTACACTGTTTTTTTTTCTCACTTTTTTAAAACTATTTTTCTTTTTATAGTATATTTTAATATTGGTTAATATTGTCTGCTTATCTGTATTATTGTGTTGCACTGTTTGAGAAGCCTGTGACCTAAGATTTTCAACGACATAATTACTCTGTAGCTATGTTAGTTTGACAATAAAGAACCTTGAACCTTGAACCTCAGGAGCAGAGAGACAGAAACACACTCACCGTGATGATGGCTTTCCCCACCGTGCCTCCGGGTCTGAGCAGGGCTTTGCACAGTTTCCTCTGAGAGATGATCTGCACACACACACACACACACACCACACACACACACACACACACACACACACACACACACACACACACACACACACACACACACACACACACACACACACACACACACACACACACACACACACACACACACACACACACACACACACACACACACACACACACACACACACACACTGCATTTATCAGGTTGTTAAACAAATACAGATATATGTTCCTCTAGTGGCTTTGCTTTGGCTTCTCGTCAACATTTAAATGAACAAAACACACTTCAAGGTGAGGTCTGTTCAGCGTGGTTTCAATCACTGTTCACATTTATACCTGTGAAAAGTAACGCTGAATGATTTGTATTTATTCCACAATAACTATGACAAGCAGGAAAGTCTCCTTAGAGGCCCGGACACACCAAGCCGATTTCGGCCGTCGATAGATGTCTGGCCGTCGATGAGCGTCCTGTCGCCCTACTCAGATTGGTGTCCCGCACCGTTGTGTCTTTTCGGCCGTGCCGACAACTTCACGTACATGTTGAATGGGGAGGCTGTTGGTAAAAGACTCTGATTGGCTGTTCAGCTTAGCGAATCAGTGCATGAGAAGCGAAACGGAAGTGAAGAAGGCACACACAGACGGCTATTATTTTTCATTTTCCAGTACCGCACTAAACATGTTTTCGATTATAAGTCGTTATGTGAAACAGTCTGTGATGGACGAGAGTGAAAATGGAACGCACGCTATTTGTTGTTTGTATATATCTCGTCTGTCTTCCGGTTGCCTCTTTTGAATGACGAATACACACTACCACCGCCTGCTGGTAAGGAGAGTTATTGCCACTCACGCATGCACAGTTCGTACGTTCGACTTGGCCGTCGGCTGGAGTCTTTGCGGTGTGTTCCAGTGCGACTGTTTGGCCAAGACGCAGAGACGTGAGGCGACACAACAGTCGGGTCCGTCGGGACGTGTTCTTTGGTGTCAGTGTGGTGTGTGTCAGGGTCTTTATAGCCCAACGTTAGCCTCCTCTGTGTGGGGGGATTGGTTAACAGTTCCTCCCATCGGCCTTTAAGCAGATTGTCTCTCTGTATGAAGCGCTGTGAGTCTCTCTGGCTGTTTCCTTCGTCAGCCATCTGTCCATCTGCTGCTGGCAGAGAAACAGACGAGGAGGAAGAGGAGGCTCTTCCCCTTCCTCTTCCTCTTCCCCTTCCTCTTCCTCTGCATGGTACCGCTCTTCCAACACAGGAAACCAACACCAATCCACAGCGTCACCACACAGTTTATAATGAGAGCACCAGCAGATGGCTTCCTCTCCCTGTCCATCACGCTGATCAACTCTATTTTGAAAATAAATCTAAGATCGAATCAATAACCCTGCCAGTATTAGTATGACAGTATAACAACGTGTTCATCTTTTGTTAAAAACTCCTCAATGAGCTTCACCTTTCAATTAATCAATCAATTTAGCTATAATTCTGACGAGGTTTCAATCATTTGAGAGTGAAGCCATTCTATATTTGCTATGTACCTTTAATGAACCACCATGAACACCCCTGATCACCAATTCTCACTGAAACACCACGTGTGGATTCATCTGAGCTGGAGCCACAGACAGGAAGTCTAACAGGTTGTTTATTAGAGTCTACAAATAATAACAAATATATAAATCAAAAGCCGACTCTGAGGTAACGGTTCTGCTGTGTCCTTGACCTGATGCAGAAAATGAAATATGAATAATAAACAGGCTGATTAATTAGTCCTTACCTTCCTGAAGACTTCACATTTCATGTCTTTGTTAAAGGTGGGGTAGGTAAGTTTGAGAAACCGGCTCGAGATACACTTTTTGTTATATTCCATGGAATGCTCTTAACATCCCGATAGCAATGAATATCTGAAGTGCTTTGACAACAAATCCATAATAAATATCATCTGTGGAAGCTGTAGTACTGTAAAAAGCACGACCAATCATCTGAGCCGGCTAAAATAACTGGATGGCCTACCTGCCTGTCAGCCTTCCATCTGTGCACAAACTTATCTCGTGCCCTCATTGGTCATGTGCGCGTTCGTGTGTGATGGAGGAGGGGCTCTGTGAGGAAGTGGCAGATTTTCTCCGGTTGTGTATTTTCAAATTCTAGCGCACTCAAGCTGGTTTCTCAAACTTACCTACCCCACCTTTAAATGTAAATGAGGGTTGTTTTCATTTAGGAGTCAATTATGCATGTGTGTTTTTTATTTATTTAACCTTTATGATAATAATAATAATAATAATAATAGCTTGCATTTATATAGCGCCTTTCAAGGGACCCAAGGTCGCTGTACAGTAATATAGCAAAAACAAACATAACAAAACAAAAGTCAGACAGACAAAACAACAGATCGATTAGGGGCCGAAAGCCTTGGCAAACAGATGGGACTTGAGGGCCCTTTTGAAGGCGTCGAGTGTGGGGATGTTGCGAATCTCCGCAGGGAGAGCGTTCCAGAGGGTGGGGGCTGCCACACTGTAGGCTCTGTCCCCGAACGTTCGCAGTTTGGTGCGGGGGGTGGTAAGCAGGCCAGAGTCTGAGGACCGCAGGTTCCGGGGTGGGGCATGTGGGTGAAGGATGTCCGATAGGTACTGGGGGGCAAGGGCATGGAGGGACTTGTAGGTAAGGAGGAGTACTTTGTAGGATATACGGGACTTGACCGGCAACCAGTGTAGGTGGATGAGGGTGGGATCCTGAACGTCACCAAGGTCCCAGCTGTGCGTCACTCTTTAGTGTCCCCTGGTCTCCCAGCTGTGTGCGTCACTCTTTAGTGTCCCCTGGTCTCCAGCTGTGTGCGTCACTCTTTAGTGTCCCCTGGTCTCCCAGCTGTGTGCGTCACTCTTTAGTGTCCCCTGGTCTCCCAGCTGTGTGCGTCACTCTTTAGTGTCCCCTGGTCTCTCAGCTGTGTGCGTCAGTCTTTAGTGTCCCTTGGTCTCCCAGCTGTGTGCGTCACTCTTTAGTGTCCCCTGGTCTCCCAGCTGTGTGCGTCACTCTTTAGTGTCCCCTGGTCTCCCAGCTGTGTGCGTCACTATTTAGTGTCCCCTGGTCTCCCAGCTGTGTGCGTCACTCTTTAGTGTCCCCTGGTCTCTCAGCTGTGTGCGTCACTCTTTACTGTCCCCTGGTCTCCAGCTGTGTGCGTCACTCTTTAGTGTCCCCTGGTCTCCCAGCTGTGTGCGTCACTCTTTAGTGTCCCCTGGTCTCCCAGCTGTGTGCGTCACTCTATAGTGTCCCCTGGTCTCCCAGCTGTGTGCGTCACTCTTTAGTGTCCCTTGGTCTCCCAGCTGTGTGCGTCACTCTTTAGTGTCCCCTGGTCTCCCAGCTGTGTGCGTCTCTCTTTAGTGTCCCCTGGTCTCTCAGCTGTGTGTGTCACTCTTTAGTGTCCCCTGGTCTCCCAGCTGTGTGCGTCACTCTTTAGTGTCCCCTGGTCTCCCAGCTGTGTGCGTCACTCTTTAGTGTCCCCTGGTCTCCCAGCTGTGTGCGTCACTATTTAGTGTCCCCTGGTCTCCCAGCTGTGTGCGTCACTCTTTAGTGTCCCCTGGTCTCCCAGCTGTGTGCGTCACTCTTTAGTGTCCCCTGGTCTCTCAGCTGTGTGCGTCACTCTTTACTGTCCCCTGGTCTCCAGCTGTGTGCGTCACTCTTTAGTGTCCCCTGGTCTCCCAGCTGTGTGCGTCACTCTTTAGTGTCCCCTGGTCTCCCAGCTGTGTGCGTCACTCTATAGTGTCCCCTGGTCTCCCAGCTGTGTGCGTCACTCTTTAGTGTCCCTTGGTCTCCCAGCTGTGTGCGTCACTCTTTAGTGTCCCCTGGTCTCCCAGCTGTGTGCATCACTCTTTAGTGTCCCTTGGTCTCCCAGCTGTGTGCGTCACTCTTTAGTGTCCCCTGGTCTCCCAGCTGTGTGCGTCTCTCTTTAGTGTCCCCTGGTCTCTCAGCTGTGTGCGTCACTCTTTAGTGTCCCCTGGTCTCCCAGCTGTGTGCGTCTCTCTTTAGTGTCCCCTGGTCTCCCAGCTGTGTGCGTCACTCTTTAGTGTCCCCTGGTCTCCCAGCTGTGTGCGTCACTCTTTAGTGTCCCCTGGTCTCCCAGCTGTGTGCGTCACTCTTTAGTGTCCCCTGGTCTCCCAGCTGTGTGCGTCACTCTTTAGTGTCCCCTGGTCTCCCAGCTGTGTGCGTCACTCTTTAGTGTCCCCTGGTCTCCAGCTGTGTGCGTCACTCTTTAGTGTCCCCTGGTCTCCCAGCTGTGTGCGTCACTCTTTAGTGTCCCCTGGTCTCCCAGCTGTGTGCGTCACTCTTTAGTGTCCCCTGGTCTCCAGCTGTGTGCGTCACTCTTTAGTGTCCCCTGGTCTCCCAGCTGTGTGCGTCACTCTTTAGTGTCCCCTGGTCTCCCAGCTGTGTGCGTCACTCTTTAGTGTCCCCTGGTCTCCCAACTGTGTGCGTCACTCTCGGCCACCGTAGAGAGCAGGCCAAGAAAATAAAGCAATACCACTTAGTAGGGTTAGGTAGTAGTACCTATACAGAAACCATACAAAATGAGCTAAATCTATTATAGAAAGAGAGTCAGTTTCATAACCAAGTGAATTCCAAAACATTGCCATCTAAAGAAAAACGCATGAATTATTTTTCATTTTGAATTCAAAGGTTTTCACACCAATGAAAACACCAAACTCCATTAAAGAAACCAGTATAGCTTAAGAAACGCGTCTATGTGCTGCAAGCTGAAGAATAATGACGTTTATTGACGGATAACAAAGATGGACACATCTCACAGTCTCTCTCTGTGTGTCTGCCGTCAGGAGAATATTCCCAGGTTATTATCTCTGTGCTCGGCCTGTAATGGAGCCTCTGATGCTGTTATTATGTTCTTACTCAGCTGCTGTCGGACTAAAAAAATGTTGATACTTCCAATAATTAGCTTTCGAGAAAGTGAAAATATATCTTTCTGCCCTCAGAGGTTTTCAGAAGTTTTGGATAATTAGCAGAAGATTGTGTAGTTTGTAAGGACAAAAACAAAAACACTTTCCGCAGGTGAGTCTGATTATTACTGACGGATCTCAGTCGACAGTTTGTGTGACTCATTTTTTAGTGCAGCTCCTTCATAGCCCAACATTAGCCTCCTTTAGCTTAGCGGTGGTGACGTGAAGTCATGTGACCGTACTGTAGTTCCTTTATAGCCCAACATTAGCCACCTTTAGCTTAGCGGTGGTAACGTGAAGTCATGTGACCGTGCTGTAGTTCCTTTATAGCCCAACATTAGCCTCCTTTAGCTTAGCGGTGGTGACGTGAAGTCATGTGACCGTGCTGTAGTTCCTTCATAGCCCAACATTAGCCTCCTTTAGCTTAGCGGTGGTGACGTGAAGTCATGTGACCGTGCTGTAATTCCTTTATAGCCCAACATTAGCCTCCTTTAGCTTAGCGGTGGTGACGTGAAGTCATGTGACCGTGCTGTAGTTCCTTTATAGCTCAACATTAGCCACCTTTAGCTTAGCGGTGGTGACGTGAAGTCATGTGACCGTGCTGTAGTTCCTTTATAGCCCAACATTAGCCACCTTTAGCTTAGCGGTGGTGACGTGAAGTCATGTGACCGTGCTGTAGTTCCTTTAGAGCTCAACATTAGCCACCTTTAGCTTAGCGGTG